TATAATCACACAGCTAATCAATGGTGAAGCCAGGACTTGAATCCAGTTAATGTGAATCTGGAGTCTGCTTTCAGTTATTATGAGATACAGGCCAAAGGGTAATCCCATAACAGTAATAATTAAAGCACTACACTAATTTCAGCTGGTACTGGAGTGCCTGACTGGCTCAGTCAGAAGACCATGTGACTCTTGATCTCAGAGTTGGGAGTTCGAGACTCACATTAGGTGTCGAGATCACGAACAAAAATAAATAAATAAAACTATAAATTCATCTGGCACTATTTCCATCAGGTAAGAAGAGTAGTTCTCTCCTTTTGTTCTTGAATTAAACCTTGATAAATTCCTTCTACAAATGAGTGAAATCTGTCTAGAGTGGGTGGAGGGGCTGAGAGAGGAAGAAAGACACAAGAGTTAACCTCAGATCCCCACACAGATTTGGAATAAGGAAAAATGTTTTAAGGAAAAGAAGATCCACACTAAGTATCACCACAAGAAATGTTTTCTTACTTTGGCAGCTGTGGGGTTCCCAGGCTCCCTGCTCCAAGATTACATTTCCCAGTAGGCATGTTCTGCTCAAAGCTCACAGTCAACCATCCCATTCAAGAAAGGTATCTGTCTTATAAAATGGTGAGGCAATCCAGCACTGTGGTTCAGAACATGAGTTCTGAAGTCAGCCTGCCTGCCTCCAAATCTGGGTTCTGCCATGCAACTCTAGGAAGTTACTCAGTGTCTCCTTCCCTCTCTTTCCCCATCTGAAAACTGAGGATGATAACTCTATTTATCTTACAAAACTTGTTGTGACGATCAAGTGAGATAATTTTCACTCAGTGTAGTGCTTCTCTTATATAAGTGCTCAGCAAAGGGCCTGGCACATGGTAACCTGCAAGCAATGGTATGTGTTAGTTATGAAGTACAGGGGACAGAGGGGAAAGGAGATAAATTAGATGACGACTAAGAAATCTTCCAACCTTGAAAATCTATCAAATTTTTTTTTTAAATGTTTTATTTATTTCTGAGAGAGAGAGAGACAGGGAGAGCAGGGGAAGGTCAGAGAGAGGGGGAGATACAGAATGAAACAGGCTCCAGGCTCTGAGCTAGCTGTTAGCACAGAGCCTGACACGGGGCTCGAACCCACGAACTGTGAGATCACGAACTGAGCTGAAGTCGAAGGCTTAACCGACTGAGCCGCCCAGGCGCCCCAAAAATCTATCAAATTCTTAAGAGAAAAAATTTTAATTTCATCAAATAAGACAATGCAAATTCCAAAACAGTGAAGTATTCACTGAAGTCAGATCAATACTTGGTATAAATTCACCCCTGAACCTCTTGAAGGCATTTTATTAATTTCTTTATTTATGACTACTAGCTATAAATTGCCTCTCAATAATATAAATTAAATGTGCAAAATGAATTTGGATTTAGAGAATGAGGAGAGCTAACTGACTTCTAAGCAACTGATTAGTATCAATTAACTGCTATAACAAATCTACTCCCCTACCAGAATCGTGACCATAGACTGAGCTCTTTCAATCCAGAAGTTCAAAAACAGAAATTAGCAATATGAGAACAATACCCAAAGAATTCCCAAGAGGAAGATAATAGTACAGCTTCTTGTCAACTGGAATCTCCAGGGCAATAACAGGCCAGAGCATTACATGGCTGCCAGGAAAAGCCAGTCAGCTTAGAAACCAGTGACAGCCCAGGATGGGAACCTATTCCAAACCTAAGCTGATCTAATTTTATGGATTCATTATGGCTCGCCTCTAGAAATCCCATCCATTTAGAGTTCCAAATTAATAACAATTTACTCAGAAACAACTTAAAGTTAGGACCCAGCAATTAAGCCATCTGCCTAGGGGACTCCTTATCTGGAAGGACTGTGTACCCAAAGCAGATCTTCTGGGCCAGCGCTAAGAAATCTTTATAACCTGATAACCTAGGAAATCAGAGATGGACTTTGCCACCTGCTGTGGTCAGTAGAAAAAAGAAACTTTAGGTATGCCAAATCTGAGATGCACATTAAAGAGTAACAAGTGCAAGAACTACACACCTACATGATCCTTACCATAAGCCAGGAAACTGCAGGTAGACAATTAGAACAGTGATGATAAAGCCTCCATTCCCAGAATAAGACATTAAACCAGGGCCCTTTTCTTCCCCCCTTCTTATATTTACAATTTTTTCCTACTCCTTTTTCTGTGCTTTTCCTTGCCACTTAACCACCTTCCTATCTTTTCCAGTTGTTCCACTCACTGTTACACTCGAATTCTTTTAAAATTCTTTCTCTCTGTTCTTTCTAAAATGTCATTCTAGTAAGTTATCAAACAAACTGTATAGAAAGAAACAAATATAAAAAGAAGGCTCTGACAATTTCTCTTTGTTGACATGAATACTGTCTACTTTTGTCTGGCCTGTAACTTCCACATGTCAAAATATTATGCCCATGATAAGAGCAGAGCAACTTTTAAAAAATACTCAAGTCTAATGAATATTTTTAGTGGCAATATAGTATGAAAGTGCAAAGAACAAAATTAATACAAAGAGGTCTCATACAACATTATGACATATAGAGTAATTATTCTTTTAAGTTTATTATTATTATTTTTTTTAGTAATCTCTACACCCAACAAGGGGCTCAAACTCATGACCTCAAGATCAAGAGTCACACACTCTTCCAACTGAGCCAGCCAGGCGCCCCTAGAGAGTAATTCTTTTTTTTTTTTTTAATTTTTTTTAAGTTTATTTATTTTTGAGACAGAGAGAGACAGAGCATGAGAGGGGGCAGGGCAGAGAGAGAGAGAGACACAGAATCTGAAACAGGCTCCAGGCTCTGAGCTGTCAGAATAGAGCCTGATGCGGGGCTCGAACCCACAAACTGTGAGATCTGACCTGAGCCGAAGTCAGATCCTTAACTGACTAAGCCACCCAGGTGCCCCTAGACAGTAATTCTTAATTCTAATACAAATAAACTCTTTTACCTAAATTCAAAACACATAGATATGTAAGTATCTCAAAATGCAGCCACTTTTAGTATATTATGCTCAGAAAAAAATGTAGAAAAACTTAACACTCCTTAACTATTTTTATTTCCTATAAGAAGATAACAATTCTCCCCAAATTAAATTTTTTTTAATGTATATTATTTGAGAGAGAGACAGAGTGAGAGCAGGAGAGGGGCAGAGAGAGCCGGAGACACAGAATCCAAAGCAGGCTCCAGGCTCTGAGCTGTCAGAGCTGTCACAGCTCAAAGCCATGAACTGTGAGATTATGACCTGAGCCAAAGTCGGATGCTTAACCGACTGAGCCACCCAGGTGCTCCTAATTCTCAAATTAAAAAAATATATATTTTTACCAAAATGAAATGCAATATAACCTTGTCTTCCTTCATTCTTTACAGTATTTACAGAATTTAAGGAAGAAATTTTAATTATTCTCTCCTTTGAAGACTTCACTTAAAAAGTCTTTTCAGGGCACCTGAGTTGGTAAGTTGGTTAAGCATCCGACTTCGGCTCAGGTCATGATCTCACAGTTGTGGGTTCAAGCCCCGAGTTGGGCTCTGTGCTGACAGCTAGCTCAGAGCCTGAAGCCGGCTTCAGATGCTGTGTCTCCCTCTCTCTCTGACCCTCCCCTGCTCACACTGTCTCTCTCTCTCAGAAATAAATAAAAATAAAACATTTAAAAATTTTTTTAAAAAAGTCTTTTCAAAGTTTTTTTTTTTTCTCTTTAAAATAGGAAACAAGGTGGGGCGCCTGGGTGGCTCATTCGGCTGAGTGTCCGACTTCGGCTCAGGTCATGATCTCACAGTTTGTGAGTTTGAGCCCTACATTGGGCTCTGTTCTGACAGCTTGGAACCTGGAGCCTGTTTCAGAGACACAGAATCTCTCTCAAAAATAAACAAACTCTTTCTTTCTCTCAAAAATAAACATTATAAAGTCAATTTAAAAATAAATAAATAAAATAGGAAACAAAGGTAATTGCATATAATAATGTATGTCCCAACTGTTGATATCAAACTCTCACTTGCAATTAAAATGGGGTCCAAGATGGGGTGCATGGGTGGCTCAGTCAGTTAAGTGTCCGACTTCAGCTCAAGTCATGATCTCATGGTTCGTGAATTTGAGCCTCATGTCAGGTTCTATGTTGAAAGCTCAGAGTCTGGAGCCTGCTTCTTTTGGATTTTGTGTCTCCCTCTCTCTCTGCCTCTGCTCCCCTCAGGTTCGGTCTCTCTCTTTCTCAAAAATAAATAAATATTAAAAAAGATTTTTAAATGGAGTCCAAGAAATATAATTCCTTAAAATATTTTAAATGTATGCCATGAGCTATATGCACACTTTTGAGCTGTGCCTCTGTCCCATTTTTATATTTCTGTTTATCTTCTTCCTCTCTCCAACACCTGAACTGGGATTCTTTCACTTAGAATGTAATTTGAGGGGCACTTGGGTGACTGAGTGTTGGTTAAGCATCCAACTCTTGATTTTAGCTCTGTACACGATTTCACAGTTTGTGGGATTGAGCTCCATGAGCAGCTCTGTGCTGAGTGTGGAGCCTGCTTGGGATTCTCTCTCTCCATCCCTGCCCCTTCCCTGCTTGCATGAGCATGCTCTCTCTCTGTCTCAAAATAAACATACAACCAAAAAAAAGAAAGAATGACATGGAAACCAACTTGACAATAAACTATTTGTAAAAAAAAAAAAAAAAAGTAAATAAATATATAGAAGGGAAAAAATCTATAATGCAACAATCCAAAAGAAAACGAAAAAGAAAGAATGTAATCTTAAAACAAAGTAACAATCCTACCTATACATTCAAAATTATATCTTAAAGGCATTAAGTTCACTAGAAAAATAAAACTGAAAGAAAAAAGTCAGTAAATATGACAGAACTTTTTCTGTTGACTATTTTCTAAAAAAAATGTAACCATATTAATATACATGAGTCCAAGAATATTTAAAGAAGAAATTCACGCATTTCATAAAAACCATATAAAATATCCATCTTACCGATATCATTAACAAGGGAATTAGAATCAGATGCCCCCAGGGTAGCTTCGAACTCCTCTTGGAGACGATATGCTCTTTGCAGGAGAGCTTCAAGTTTATGGATAAATTCAGTACTAATAATATCCTACAAGGAGAGAAAAAGTACACACATCAAATATTAAATTCTAATGTTAAAATTTTTAATACCTTCCACTCTTAAACGAAAGGCAAAGAAAGTGTGGGATGTAAGGAAGGCCCGTTAGGTGGTGATAGCACTGGGTTATGCCTGTGCCTTTAGCCTAGTTACCCCAGTTCCCTGGGATTCAGCTTCTTCACCTACAAACTTAAGGAGTGGGGCTAGACCAGGGGTTCTCAAATTAAGATCCTTGACCAGTGGCATCAGTATCATGTAATAAGTTGTTAGAAATGCGAATTCTCGGCCCCATCCAAGCCACTGAATTAGAAACTCAAGTCTGTTTTAACAAGCCTTTTGGATGATTCTAACGCATGCTCAAATTTGAGACTCACTAGCTGACATGATTGGTAAGTATCAGTCCAGCTCTAATTCTATGTGACTTTTATGAATATAATGGCACTTAATTAAAACAAGGCTTTTAAAAAATCCTTTTGGGTGCCTGGGTGGCTCAGTCGGTAAAGCTTCTGACTTCGGCTCGGGTCATGATCTCACGGTTCGTGGGTTCGAGCCCCGCATCGGGCTCTGTGCTGTCAGCTAGCTCAGAGCCTGGAGCCTGCTTCTGATTCTGTGTCTCCCTCTCTCTCTGACCTTCACCTGCTCACACACTCTCTCTCTCAGAAATAAATAAAACATTAAAAAAAAATCCCTTTAGAAATCATAGTAATTCTATATATTTTTAGCAAATCAGGGAACTTGACTATGAATTGCAATTTTGGGATTTAATAACTAACTGAACAGAAAATAAGGCCAACAAGACCTACTCCTCCACCCCCACACACACATAGTCCCAAGGGAGAAAAAAAAAACATTTCTATTAAATGCCACAAAAAGAAAGTATAATCAATCAGTATTAAACATTGTTCAATTCTTCTAATATTATAAAGGCCACTCTCCAGCAAATCCCCCTTACATCTACACTTTCTTCAGCAATGGCATCTCCTGCACCCAATTTAATGGAACTACAGGCTTCATCTTCAGCCTGTCTATTTCGAAAAGTGAGAGCTTGCTCCCATCGACGTAGTGCCTCTTCAAACAATTCCATACCTATGAAATAAGAACAGAACAATTGTAAATTAAAAAATCAATGCCAAATTAAAATCGTTTGGGGCTGAAATCTTTTTCATATGGTTATCAACAATGGCACAGTGTGACTGTAATTTTGGCTCTAAAGAATAATCTTATGCTCACCTGATTTCATAGCAGAATTTTTTCTATTCTATTTTATTTTATTTATTTTATTTTATTTTTAAGTAGGCTTCATGCTGAGCATGGAGTCCAATGGAAGGCTCAAGCTCATGACTCTGAGATCAAGCCCTAAGCTGAGATTAAGATTCGGACGCTTAACCAACTGAGCCACACTAGAGCTCCTTCATAGCAGAATTTTAATTCCCAATAAATTCTAGGCCTATAGTTCTAGTCAACCAAAAATCGGAGAGAAATGACCAATATGTTTTCTTTCTTTTTTTTTTTTTTAATGTTTATTTTTGAGAGACAGAGTGTGAGTGGGAGAGGAGCAGAGAGAGAGGGAAACAAGGAATCAGAAGCAGGCTCCAGACTCTGAGCTGTCAGCAAAGAGTCTGATGCAGGGCTTGAACCCACAAACTGTGAGATCATGACCTGAGCTGAAGTTCGACACTTAACTGACTGAGCCACCCAAGTGCCCCTGTTTTCTTTTTTTGTTTTTTAAAGTAACTCAAATATATATGGTACTTGGGGTTTTTCTAGAACAGTATTGTGAGTTCATCAAAAGTCCAACAATAGTGGCTAATTTTTATATTCACACAACTATCTTTCAAAATATCCACCTAAATTAAAAAGATAGGTAAACAGAAGAAAGTAGTTGTTAAAAAGCTACTGGGTTTACAAGAGGTTGTTAGAAGGAAGAGTAAAACTGAGAAGAAATAGCATATTAAGTCTAGAATAAGGTTTTTCTATGTCGATTTGAATAAATTAATTGCTGAGTCAGTTAAAAATCTACAAGACCATTGGAAGAACCGAACAACGATTACTGTCCAAGTAGAAATTCATATCCCCCCATCTATACAGCTTTTGTGGGAAAAAAAGGTATGTGCCTCTTTTTCTCCAAGTAAAAAATGTCTTACCAAAATAATTATGTACTTCAAACAAAACCGAAATATTTAAAACTTCAACTTTTCTAGACATATAAAAGAAAAAGATCTTTAAAAGCAGCTCAATCAGGGGGCACCTAGATGGCTCAGCCAGTAAAGCACCTGACTCTTGATCTCGGATTGTAAGTTCAAGCCCCATATTGGGCATGGAGCCTATTTAAAATAAAAATTAAGAATAAATAAACAAGCAAATAAAATAAGAGCTGCTTAATCTGGGCAAGTCATTCTTAAGATGTTTTTCATATACAGTAGTTAAGGAATACCTCTCATCTAAAAATCATTTCTTCAGTTCTGTAAAGAACCTACAACCCTAAACAAAAAAAGTGTTATTTAAATACATCTTAGTCCTTTTCTCCTCATTTACTTTTCCATAGTAAAGAACTAACCACTGTGTAGATCTTCCCTCTAAAAACCTATGCACTTAAAAGACAATTAATTACATCACTATCTCCTCTCTTTTCTCCAAAGTTTACAATTCTAGCTCCTTCAACCTTTTCTCACTCCATCTACTCTCTAGCCATCTGATTATTTTGGGTAAACAGTAAGGGAGAATGACACAATAGCTGAGTAGTTCCAAGATAAAAGCTGTCTCCCAGGAAGAACTGTGTTTCACCTCATTGTGGCACATGGCCCAGATCACCACTTATCCTCAGTTTTGTAACAGGTATTCAAACATATTTCACCAATACCTTCTTTTAATGTCATCAATCTTGTAAAGGGAAGCGAAACAATAGGCGGGTGATCAGGTGATCCAGAGGGCTCCTACCAATCTTAATTCTATTTTACTGAGACTTGCTGCAGCTTCTCTGGCTTTGCTCTATTTCTCTACAATTCTAACTCTCAATAATCCAACAGAAGCTGTGAGTGTAGGTTTACCATACACAGGGTAATACAGAAGCACAGTGAGCTTAATTCTCAGGAGACCTTTGGAAAAGATGGCAAAAGAACTACTCTTACAATCTTTCCTCATAGGCAGGAATACCTATGGTGATACCACAGAGGATGACATAGTCTAGCTCTTCTAGAGTGTGGGAATGTACAGTCCTTCTACAAATCATTATCTCCTTTACTATTCATTGACCAGGCTACATCAATGTTTTTTAGTCTTGTTTTTTAATTAGTATGCACTACCATTAAAAGAAATAAATCCTGAAATAGAGTAGCAAATACAGAAAAGCATCTGAAAAAGTATTTGAATCTGATTTGATGTTAAGTTCTCTGCTTCTTTTTCTAGGCTCCAATGATACTCTCTAGACATGCTCCTGGTCAAGCCAAGAGGAATACTAAGATGTGAAACACAGTCCTCCTTTTGTTTTAAATTTTTTTCTGGATATAAGAACACAGGGTGCCTGGGTAGCTCAGTTGGTTAAGCCTCCAGCTTCGGCTTAGGTCATGATCTCACTGTTCTTGAGTTCAGGTCCTGTTCAGTTCCCAGAGCCTGGAGCCTGTTTCAGATTCTATGTCTCCCTCTCTCTCTCTCTCTGCCCCTCCCACACTCACATTCTGTCTCTCTCTCTCAAAAATAAACATTAAAAAAATGTTTTTTAAATAGAAATGATAGCTAGCTACATAAAACACAGATTAAATAAAGTGGACTCTGATAGACTCATTAGGTAAGAATCAAAAGCTCAGGTTAAATGAATGAAATAGACTGAATAATAGCCACCCAAAGGTATTAAGTATAAGTCTCCAGAACATTACCTTACAAAGAAAAGGGGTCTTTGCAGATGTGACTGAATCAAGGAATCTTAAAATTAATTAATTGAGAAATTTAACATGGGGAGATATCCTGGATTATATGGTGGGCCCTAAATCCAATCACAACTGTCCATGTAAGAAGCAGAGGGAGATCTGATACACACAGAGGAAGTGATGATGGGAGGTAGAGACTGGAGTCACATGACCACCAGCCAGAAGCCATCAGAAGCTAGGAAGGGAAAGGAACAGATATTCCACAAAGCCTTCTGAAGAAGGATAGCTCTAAGGATACCTTGATTTCAGCCTAGTGATAACAATTTCAGACTTCTGGGCTCCAAAACTCTTAGAGAATACATTTATGCTGCTTAAAACACTAAGTTTGTGGTAGTCTGTTACAGCATCCTCCAGGTATAGGTTATGTTATATATACTATATTCAACAGATAGGAGAATATTTAAAAATTTTGTTGCTTCCCTTAGAACAATTCATCATAATTTAGTTTCACAATAAAAGTGAGCATAATATCTTAAAACATTATTATGTTATTCCTACCCATCAAGTATAAGTTCTCAGGAGTGGTCACAGGAATATTGACAAGTTTAATATCATCTTCATCTGCTTTGTCCCAGGAGTTAGAATTGCCGCAAGCACAGCTATGACAAGAATTGACACTCTGGACCTAAAATTAACATCGAGAGCAATTACTTCAAAATCTCTCTTATGACAGTATCTTGTCCTCTTTTATATTAACAAATTATTTACAGAAATCCTATTCCTAGTAAAACAACCCATGGAATCCCTACCGGAAGAAATAAATCTGATTATATTCAAAGTTAGGAGTCATAAGACCCATCTATGGCCATACCACCCTAAACGCACCTGATCCCATCTTATCTCTGAAGCTAAGCAGAGTCAGGCCTGGTTAGTACTTGGATGGGAGTCATAAGACCCTAAGTATTTTTTTTTAATGTTTATTTTATTCTGAGAGAGAAAGAGAGACAGTGTGAGCAGGGGAGGGTCAGAAAGAGAGGGAAATACAGAATCTGAAGCAGGCTCCAGGCTCTGAGCTAGCCATCAGAGCCCGACGCGGGGCTCAAACCCACCAACTGTGAGATCATGACCTGGGCCGAAGTCGGACGCTCAACCGACTGAGCCACCCAGGTGCCCTGACCTGAGTCAAAATCTGATGCTCAACCGACTGAGCCACCCAGGTGCCCCCAGGTTCTGCCCTTTTTAGGGGCACCTGGGTTGCTCAGTTGGTTAATTGCAACTTCAGCTCAGGTCATGATTTCAAGGTTTCCAAGTTCGAGCCCCATGTTGAGTTTGTGCTGACAGCTCAGAGCCTCGAGCCTGCTTCAGATTCTATGTCTCCCTCTCTCTCTGCCCCTCTCCTGTTCACATTGTGTCTCTCTCTGTCTCTCAAAAATAAATAATTGTTAACATTTTTTTTTAAGAACTCTAAACCTGGGGTGCCTGGCTGGTTCAGTTGGCAGAGCACGGGACTCTCAATCTCAGGGTTGTGAGTTCAAGCCTCAAGTCGGGCATGGAGCCTACTTAAAAATATATAGGATTGCCTGGGTGGTTCAGTGAGTCAAATGTCTGACTTTTAATTTGGTTTAGGTTATGATCTCACGGTCTGTGAGATCAAGTCCTGCATCAGGCTCTGCACTGTCAGCACAAAGCCTGCTTGAGATACTTTCTCTCCCTCTCTCTCTCTCTGCCTCTCCCTTGCTTGAGTTTACATGCACACATACTTTCTCTCAAAAATAAAAATAAACATATTTTAAAAATTTGGTATATTTTTAGGCATTTAAGAAAGGGACAGCTTGATATTCCAACAAAACAGAGAAGAAAAGTACAGAATATGGTGTTCAATAAACTATTTAAAATAAGAAATATACATGACGGTACAGACATACACACCTAGAAGTATATATGTAAGAAATTACCAGTGCTATTTGTCTCTAAGAAGGGGAACCGAGAGGATCAGGAGAATATGTATCAGTGTAAAGTTTTTTGCCTCTTCTTTATTTAGTAGCAAATATATATCCTATCTATTTAACAAAATTTTTAAACCATATTAAATTTTTAAAAACATTAACTTTATTCCTCACTTGTCAATCAATACTGTATCAATGCTTCAAAGAACAAGGTGAGAACTCCACACTTGGCTTTAGCAAGCCACATACTTTTTACCTACATAGGCTCATCACTTTGTGACCTAGTACAAAGTCTGGCTGTATCTTACAGCATTTTTGCAGGACATCTAGTTTTTTGTTTAGTTTTGTGTGTGTGTGTGTGTGTGTTTACTTACTATTTTAGAGACAGAGAGAAAGAGAGAGAGAGAGAGAATGCAAAAGGGGGAAAGGGGCTGAGGGCGGAAGAGAGAAGTGGGGTGGGGGGATGGTGAGAGAGTCTTAAGCAGGCTCCACACTTAGCACAGAGCTCAACCTGGGGCTCCATCTCATGACCCTGGGATCATGACTTGAGTGGGAATCAAAGCTGGATGCTCAACCGACTGAGCCACACAGGCACCCCAGAAACATCTAGTTTGAAGCAGTACTTTCACATCAACACTATTCTTACAGGACCCCATGTGTCCACATGACCTACTCAGAGAAAGCTGGAGCCAAACTGGATGGTTATTTAGCAAAAGGAAAATTTTACTTGCCTAAGAAAATAGACTCAACAAGATGATTTAAGTTTCTTTCCATACTAAGAGCTATCTATAATTAATTTTTCTTAAGTTTTATTTTTATTTTGAGAGAAAGATGAAGAGCAAGTGGGGAATGGGCAGAGAGGGAGGAAGACAGAATCCCAAGCAGGTTCCATACTGTCAACCCAAAGCCTGATGCAGTACTCGAACTCATGAACCATGAGATCATGACCTGAGCTGAAGTCAGGAGATAGACACTTATCCAACTGAACTACCCAGGTACCCCTAATAATTATATGACATTTAAACCAATATATAACAATTGACACAAAATTAAACCTATAAAATAATAAATTTTTTTCTTTACTTACGGAGCCTAAACTCTGTGCAGAACCTGAATATTTACTGAAAAGTCCTCCATTAGCATAGTTACAAGACTGAGATCCTTTGTCTTTGGCAGAACTTAAAGATAATGTCAAATTTTGTCTACTACTGGAACAACTTGAACCTATCAAACAAATATATCAATAATATTAGAAGTATCAGTAACTCTAATGATAAATTTCTGAGAAAATTTCAGAGTTTATACTCTATTCCTTGAGAAAGCTTCTAATTTTAAAACATATTTCCCTCAATTGCATAATTTATTAAATGTACACATTTATTAAAATCTACCTCTCTTTACAATTGTTTTTAACACTGCTGAAAATCTGCTTCCTAAATGAATGAAGAATAAAACATTCATCTAATTAGGGTGATACTCGAATGATCAATTGTAATCAGTATAAAAATACTGGCAACCATGAATCTTCAAGTTATAAATTAACAAAATGTAAGCACTTCCTTTCCTGAATTACACCAGTACGATGTCCATATTGCATTACATTGTGATTAGTTTTTTCTTTTTCTGCATCCCCTAACCATCTCTCTATCCATCTACGGCTGATGTTGTATCTCAGTCTATCTTAATGCAGTAGTTAAGACACCCTTGAATTCAATTCCTAGGACTTATATGGCCCTGAGCAAGTCACTTAAGTTTTCTCCATCTCAATTTTCTTTATGTCCAAAATGGAAACAATAACACTGGATACAGTCCTAATTCATAGTATTGTTATAAAAGTTAAACAATGCAGTGAATATGCAGCATTTAGCACTATGCCTGAGATCTAATAAAATTCATTAAGTGAGAGCCATCATTACGGTAATGTTCACTGTACTTGGCACAAAATAGTCATTCATTAATTATTTGCTGGACAAATAAATCATAAAACCACAGGATACTCTAAATAATAAATTTAAAATAATTAAAATTTTTAAAAATAAGAAATTCAGCATGCTCAAAGAAATTATTGGTTTTTTTTTTTTTTTAACGTTTTAGTTTCAAGAGAGAGAAAGAGACAGAATTTGAGCAGGCAAGGGGCAGAGAGAGAGGGAGGCAGAGAAACCGAAGCAGGCTCCAGGCTGTGAGCTGTCAGCACAGAGTCCAACACAGGGCTCAAACTCACAAACCATGAGTTCATGACCTAAGCCAAAGTCAGATGCTTAAGTGACTGAGCCACCAAGGTGCCCTAGGAAGTTACTGTTATTGATTAAATATGGCAATATGTACCATATCTCTAACAAAAACTACAGGTCTTTTAAAGGCCAGCAATTCTACCTCTACTTATATACTAAGAAAATAATCAGACAAGTACATGCAAAGCAAGAAAAACATTCTAAAGGGACCAACAGGGAATTAATTAAATAAATTAGTGGATATGTTTACAAATTTAACAGTAAGTACATATTAAAAACAATAGCAGAAATATAGTTATTGACCTAGAAAAATCTTTTTATATATTGTTAAATATTTTAAAAGCAGACTGTAAAAGGTATAATCATAATTTTATTTAAAATACATATATCATTTGCTTATACATAATATAAAATTATATATCTTAATAGACTTAAATACAAATAGAAATAGATAGATACCAAAGTATTATGAGTTATTACATCTGGGTAGCAGAATATCAAGTGATTTTAATTCTTTGCTTATTTATCTGTATGTTCTGTTCTTTCTGAAATGAATTATGTATTATCTGGGAGTTAAATATTAAGGAAAGACATATTGGAGGCTACAACACAGAAATCACTGCACTCCAGTTATGATTTATATATAAAATTTCTTCGTAGATTCAGTTCAGCTATCTCCACATACCTTTGTCTGATGCTGCTCTTTTAGTGTATTCAAGTACGAGGTGCTCTGGTTCCCATGGTAATATTTTTCCTTTCTTCTTTCCACGTCTTCTTTTAAAGTGATGGGCCAGAAAAATTACAGATACAGCACTCACTGCAGTTACCACAAACAGTTTTTTTGCTACTGGTGAAAATCTTATCTGGAAAAGATGCAGTTAGGTTGAAAAAGATTTCCTATATTTGTTCACTTAAAGACATAAAGAGGAAAACTTATTCTTTTTTTTTTTTTTTTTAACATTTACTAACTTTTGAGAGAGAGATAGAGTGCAGGTGGAGGAGGGGCAGAGAGAGAGGGAGACACAGAATCCAAAGCAGGCTTCAGGCTCTGAGCTAGTTGTCAGCACAGAGCCCCATGCGGGGCTCGAACCCACGAGCAGTGAGATCATGACCTGAGCCAAAGTCGGACGCTTAAATGAGTGAGCCACCGAGACGCCCCCAAAGGAAAACATATTCCTTTTTTTTTTTAATGTTTATTTATTTTTGAGAGACAGAGACCAAAGTGTGAGCAGGGGAGGGGCAGAGAGAGAGGGAGACACAGAATCCAAAGCAGGCTGAGCTGCCAGCACAGAGCCCAATAGGGGCTCAAACCCACAAACAGTGAGATCATAACCTGAGCCGAAGTAGGACGCTCACCTGACTGAGCCACCTAGGTGCCCCGAGGAAAACTTATTCTTAAGATAACCTAGTTCTAACTACCACCAAAAGAACATTATTTCACTCTTTGAATGAATGAAAGCTGTCACTCTGAATGCCATTTTTTTAAAAACAAATAAAATGTATTAATATATTAATTTCTGAAAGTCTTAGGTAAATAGTGTTACCACAAAAGTCAAAAGAAGCACAAAATAATTCAACTCCATTAAAACCTGTTGAACCATTAATGATTAATTCATGCAACTAACTGAATGAAAGCAAGATTTTAAATGACAGGAATGATTAATTCAGAGATTTATTTATGTATTTATTTTTAATGTTTATTTATTTTTGAAAGGGAGAGAAATAGAGCATGAGTGGAGGAGGGGCAGAGAGAGAGAAGGAGACACAGAATCTGAAGCAGGTTCCAGGCTGCGAGCTATCAGCACAGAGCCCTATGCGGGGCTCAAAACTACAAACTGTGAGATCACGACCTGAGCTAAGTTGGTTGCTTAACTGACTGAGCCACCCAGGTGCCCCAGTTCAGAGTGTTGAAACCAAATTTTTTTAATCTCTGGAAATTTGAGCAAACATAAATTAACTTGATTTCTAAATACTATCTAAATAAGCCCTTTTATGCATGAATTATTCAACAAATATTTACTCAGCATTTTACAAAGTACTGCACTGTGCTATGAAAATTAGAATTAAAATCTTATTGCAATTCTATTCAAAAAGCAACTATCAAATGTCTTTTATTGATCAGGAAGCACTAGACATAGAGGCCACAGATCTTGCCTCCTTCAAGCAGTATGTTATAGTAGAGACAAATACAGTCACAATAAGTATATGCTAAGTATTCACATCAAAGCAAGAGGTAATTTGTCTTGGGGGACAGACACAATTACCTAAAATACAGGAGAACTATAAAATAAAGCTATAATCTTAGGGTGTAGAGGGCTGGAAAGAGTGTCACTTCCAGCTGTACAACAACAAAAAAGCCAGACAAATGCCACGTTCTCAATTTTTCTTGAACCCATCACAATGCTGAGGACAGAGGGCAATCAACTGGCCCCCAAATTAAGGAGACACAGGTATCTGCAGGGAGAGATAGGGCATAAGCATTGGCATGCAGAGATAAAACACAGCAGGAAAGCTGTAAGAAGAGCTCAGCTAGTATGGTTAGTAAATTGGTGGAGACAGTAAGCATTGGTGAGAGAGGGTTAAGCACCCCCAAGAGCAGGGGGGATGCTGCAGATATGGAGGTAATTGATACTTTTTGCAGGTTTTACCTTGACGAATCCCACCAGGCACTACTCACAGAAAAGACTGTAGGAGTCCTAAGTCTCCCTAACGGTGCAGAACTTGGGGGGAGGGAAACAGGAGTTTGTGAGGGGCATGAACTGTATCAATACCCTTTGCTATTCCCTCAAAAGAACGAAAGACATAAACTGTAGAATGCAGCTTTAACTTTCAAAGGAAATACACAGCACTAAACATTTATATTAAAGAAGTAAGGTATAAAATGTATAATCTCAGTTTTTACCTTAAAAAACTAGAAAACAGGGGCACCTGGGTGGCTCAGTCAGTTTAAGCGTCTGACTTAGGCTCAGGTCCTGATCTCACAGTTCGATTTGTGGGTTTGAGCCCTGCATCAGGCTCTGTGCTGACAGCGAGCTCAGAGCCTGGAGCCTGCTTCAGCTTCTGTATCTCCCTCTCTATCTGACCCTCCCTTGCTCACGCTGTCTCTTTCTCTCTCTCTCTCTCAGAAATAAATAAAACATTAAAAAAAAAGAAACTAAAAAACAGAACAAATCCAATCCAAAGCAAGTAGAAGACAGGATATAATAAAGACTAAACAGAAATCAATGAAATAGAAAACTAAATCAATAAAACCAAAAGCTGATTTAAAAAATCAACAAGTTCACTCCCAGGTTTTGGCAAAAAAAAAAAAAAATTCAGTAAAACTGACAAACCTGAAGCGAGTCTGACCACAACAAAAGAGAGGGAGAAAGAAAGAGAGAAAAGATGAAGACACATATTACTAAAATCAGAAATGAAATAGGCATTGTCACTAAAGATTTCATGGATATGAAAAGGATTACTATGAAGAACTCTATGCCCATAAATTCACTCAGGAAGAAACAGAATGAATGGTTACATACGTACTAAAGAAATCGAATATGTAGTTAAATAAAATCTTTTAATAAGACTATAGGGCAATTTTTACCAAATATTTAAGAAAGAAATATCAATTCCATTCAATGAGGGAATACTTCCCAATCATATTTGAAGCCAGCATTACTATTACTATCAAACCAAAAATGTTACAAAAAAATTAGATTAATATTTATAATGTAGATAGACTTTTTAAAAGTCCTTCACAAAATAGTAACACATTGAATCCAGCAACATATGAAATATATCCGATAAGGGTGCCTGGGTGGCTCAGTCAGTTAAGAATCTGACTCTTGGTTTCTGCTCAGGTCAAGATTTCAAGGTTTGTGGGATCGTGCCCCATGTCAGGCTCCATGCTGAAGCACTGCTTCTGCCCCTCCTTCACCTCTCAAACAAACCTAAAAAAATGAAAACTATATATGACCAAGCCCTGTATATCCTAGGAATATAAATCTGGTTCCACATTTAAAAATCAATGTTTAATTTACCATAATAACAAACCAAGAAGAAAAGCCATAATATAATCTCAATGGACTCAAAAAGAACATCTGAGGGGCACCTGCGTGGCTCAGTCAGTTAAGTATCTGACTCTTGGTTTTGGCTCAGGACATGATCTCAGGAGCACATTGGGCTCTGTGCTCTCAGGGTGGAGGCTGCTTAGGATTCTCTCTCCCTCTCCCTCCTCTCCTCCCCCACTCTGTCTCTCTCAAAATAAATAAACTTAAAAATTAAAAAAAATAAAAAAGAACATTTGAAAATATTCAATATCCAATCATGATTTCTTAAAAACTCTCAGCTAATTAGGATTAGGAGGTGTGTGCATTAAATAGTATCCCCTCAAAATTCATGATCACCTTGAATATCAGAGTATGGTCATATATGGGACACCTAGGTGGCCCAGCTGGTTAAGAATCTGACTTTTGATCTCAGCTCAGGTCTTGATCTCAGGGTTGTGAGTTCAACCTGGTATTGGGCTCCATGCTGGGCAAGAGCCTACATTAAAAAAAAAAAAAAAAAAAAAGAAGAGGAAAAAAAAAAGAAAAGAAAAAATAATTTGATCTTATTTAAAAAGAAGATCTTTGCCAATGTAATTAAGGTAAGAATTAAGATGGACCATAAGTCCAATGAGTGTCATTATAAGGGATTAAAGGACACATAGAGACACAAAGAGGGAGACAGAGATTACAGTTATGCTGCCACAGCCAAGGAATGCCTGAAGCCACCATAACCAACATCATATTAGAAGTAACACCCAGAGCCAAAAGTCAAGAAAAAAGAATAAAAGAAATACACATTGGGGGAAAAAAAAAAACCTCTCTATTTACAGACAACCTGATTGTCTACATGGAAAATCCCAAAGAATCTACCCAAAAATCTCCTAGAACTGGTAAGTAAAAAGGCTACAAAGTCAATGACAGCAATAAGCAACTGGAATTTGAAAATTAAAAAGCAATACTACTGGGGCACCTAGGTGGCCTAAGTGGTTAAGCATCCGACTTCAGCTCAGGTCATGATCTCATGGTTATTGAGTTCAAGGCCTGCATTGGGCTCTCCATTGACAGTGTGGAGCCTGCTCTGCATCCTCTGTCTCTCTCTCTTTCTGCCCCTCCTCAGTTCACGTGCATGCTTTTTGTCTCTCTCAAAAATAAACATTAAAAAAAATCAATGCTACTAATAACTTCACCAAGTAAAAGAAAAAAGTAAAAGAAAAAATACTTAGAGAAAATTTAACAAAATCAGTTAACAGCAAAACACTGATGAAAGAAATCAACAAAGATAAAAGGAGATGCATTATGTTCATGGATTTTAAAATGTCATTCTCTCCAATTTGATCAACAGAAAATAATCAAAATCCCAGCAAAAATGTTTGTAGATATTGGTAGCTTATTATTAAAAAAAATTGAAGAAAGGCAAAGGAAGTAGGATAACCAAAATAACTCTGAAAAAGAACAAAGTTGGAGAACATACTCTAGCCAATTTCAAGACTTAACAATAAAGCTATAATAATTAAGAGAATGTGGTATTATTATAGACATATAGATCAGTACAACAGAATAGAATTCAGAAATAAACCTGCATAAATACAGTTATCCTATTTTTGTTCAAAGTAAAAAGGAAATTTAAGGAAGAAAATTTTAGAAGAAAACAGAAAATCTATGTAACCTTGAAATCACCCAAACTCAAACTACCTGGGTATCCTTCAACAGATAAATGGCTACGTGTTACATCCATACACTGGAATACTCAGCAATAAAAAAAGGCATAATATTCAGATGCACAACAATGTGAATGAATCGCAAATGCATTATGTAAAGTGAAAAAAGCCAAT